GGGGGGGTTCAGCGTGAACAAGGGGGGTGCAAACCCGCTTTTCATGGATTAAATATTTAATTATGGGATAGATAGAAAAATCCTGCCTAAAGAGCTTTACTTTAGTTTGACACTTTGCTGCTACACCAAATTTGGTCCAAAAGAGTTTAGACAGGACGCTGAAATGTTGCATGTAGTCTCTAACTTTGGTCATATACAACGACCACATAGAAAATTTGGGATCGGTGGTCATTGACCTCTATTTTGACCTCCTTAAATGCAGAAAATAGTGGAATACATGTTTCACTCGAACTAAATTATTTTGTTTAATCAGACATTTTTTCATAGTATTTGCAACCAACTATAAAATCATCTTTAATGAACCAATAAAAACAAAGCTATTGATTTTTAAGGTGCAACTCTTTTTTTGTTGTTGACATTTTTGTAAATCTTCACTGCATTCATTTCTGGAATTATTTGTTAATTCTGAAACTTTCAATAACTAAAGTTTGCCCTGCAATATCTGCAATTCAACGTTACAGATTATTTACAGTTTAGGTTAGCTTAAAACAACATATTTACAGTTTAGGTTAGCTTAAAACAACATATTTACAGTTTAGGTTAGCTTAAAACAACATATTTACAGTTTAGGTTAGCTTAAAACAACATATTTACAGTTTAGGTTAGCTTAAAACGACATATTTACAGTTTAGGTTAGCTTAAAACAACAATCAAAATCAGATTATTTACAGTTTAGGTTAGCTTAAAACAACATATTTACAGTTTAGGTTAGCTTAAAACAACAATCCAAATGATCCAAAAATTTCTTAAAACTTATTTTTTCTAAAAGTTGAAACATTCACTCAAAGATTAAACAAATAAAAATTAAATTATCAGAAAAAGAAAAGCATTAATTTATCTAATTATAACTTATCTTTCATTTTACTTTCATTGATTTACTCGTTTCATTAAGTATTTAAAAGATGATAAAATCCAATGCTTATAAAACCTTTTTTTTCACAAGACCACTAAATCTAATCCTGCCTTTATATCCATATTAATTTAATCAATACTCCATTCAAAGAAAGAAAGTTTTTTTTGATCTAACAGGCGGGTGGGGGGAAGGGAGGGGGAGGTAAGGAGGGGGCACAGCAGATTTAGATTGATAAAATATTAAAATATTCAGAAATTTAGAATTATAAATAAATTCAAGTGAACCTGCATTGATAGAGTGGCATGCCCGATACACAAAGTACTCTTTTGTGTTTGATCAAGTATGTTATGAGTATATCCATGCTTTCGTTTTTGAAAACTGGCTATTTTCATTAGGGTTTCCAGTCGTAATTTCGTTACGCGTAATTACGCGTAACGAAACGTAACACTTTCTTTCACTTACGCAGGAGCATTACGCGTAATTATACAATTATAAATATATAAGTTCGAAATTCGAATTTTAACAGATAGAAATTAAAAGTTAAAACATCAAAATTTCATAGACGTAATTAAGGAAAAATTTCGCAAAATTACTTTGTAGAAACTACGCGAAATTGAAGTTTCGCTAATTACGCGTAATTATTACAAAATTTCGCGAAATTACCTCGTAGAAATTACGCGAAATTAGGCCGTAATTAGGCGTAATTATAGTTTCGCTTTTTACGCGTAATTGTTACGAAATTTTGCGAAATTACGTCGTAGAAATTACGCGAAATTACGCCGTAATTACGCGTAATTATAGTTTTGCTTATTACTGTTAATCATTTCGAAATTTCGCGAAATTACGTTGTAGAAATTACGCGAAATTAAGCCGTAATTTCGCGAAAATTTCCCCAATTACGCGTAATCCTGCGAAATTACACGAAATGAAAATTATTACGCGTAACTGCACGTAATTACGCGTAAGAGAATAATCTATTACGCTGGAAACCCTAATTTTCATTTGTGGTTTCTCTGTATAAGTGACGCTTATTTCTTGCCATAGAAACAATGGAGAAATTATCAGAATAAATAACTTTTTAAGTCAGTAAAACGACATTATCAATTCCTTATTTTTGATTAGATTATTGTATCAGTAAACTATTGTAAATTGGGCAAATGTATGGTCACTTGATGAACAAAGAAATTAACTTAATTCTTTAAGACGGAATATTAATTGTATAAATCTTATTGTTTCCTTTCTTTTCCTCCCAGATAAAGGCTGCTGAAGGTCTCCAGCAATAATGAAGATTACATAAGAAGCAAGAACCAATTAGCTGCCATCTTTAATAACAAATACGATATAGCTAGCTGTATACATAATTGTAATACAATAACATTACATAATCTAGTATTCCATGTAATTTGTGCATTAACTAGAAAAACAAAGATTATTCCAAATTTCAAAATATTAATTGCGAATTACAGTTTATAAGAAAAAATTGCTAAAAACAATCGGGCGAAAAATGAAACGATAAAAAAATGAAATGTACAATTTCATTGCGTTTTGGAAAATTTGTGAGAAATTTCTTTGCAAAATTTTGAAATCTTCTTTTTCTTGTCATAGGCTCTTCTAAGAGTCATAAAATGATCAAATTGAACGACTGAAAGTGGGTGAAATAGATATTTAGTCCTCTACAGGCAAAACGAAATAAAGTCAAGCTGTAAAGTAAAAAAAGAAAAGCCTCAGAATAATTCTTTTTAATAATGTCCATTTTGAAAATTATAAATCTGAACGCGCGTTAAAAACTTTGCATATATAATTGCAATTTACGATTTCTGAATTTTATGTTTATGATATTAAATTAATCCTATTTTCTCTCAGGGCTCGTACACTACGGCTTTCTACGATGAACAGTCGTCAAATGAGAGATCTAACCGTAGCTGCTACTCTCGCTATCATAGGAAACCAAATCTATTGTTTATTATTTGTCAGCAACAATTTGTTAATAATTTTTCCTACGTATTTTTTTAAACCTCCTCAACACCTCAACTATTCTTAAGTAAAGTTAGGCATAGTATTATAGACCTTTCTCAGGAATTTGTCTAGGGGGTGCTTAAATTTTTTCTTTTTAGGGGAGGGGGGGGGGGGTCAGCAACCATTGGAACCCTAAAACCCCCTGGAAACAACTCCTTAGCTACCCTTTATTACAGACTTCTATATTTTAATCTAAGAAGTTGGGAAAGAAAAAAAAATTTAAGCTATAAGAAGTGATTGGCAAAATTCTCAGAATTTTTACTTTTAATCTTGCAATCTTTGGACCACTGCGTACGTGAGAATAAAGAATGGACACATTGTTTACGGTCGTCTTTGTGTCTTATTCATTGTGGATAACCTACAGGAAACCAAATTATCTAGATTTCAAATAATTTATTGGAAATAGAATTGGAACTTCGAAATTCCAACAAATCATTCCAATTAAAACTCAGAACTGACGTTTTCCCATATAAATATTCTGTTGGTGTAAGGAAATAGGGTTGAACAGATAATCAGATTTGATCCAGATTTGTTGGTTAGCTTTTTGTGTTTTAAGTTAAGAATTAAGGATGGAGGGAGGGGGTGTGATACACATTTTTTATGCTAAAGCTGCTAAAAATTCTCGCAGTAAAAAAACACATTTCCATTTTTCTTAGGACTTCCTGCACAAAAAGAAAACTATAAAAGATTTGTTTGTTAGTTCTTGTGTTTCTTCTTTGCCACAGCTTTAAGTGTTTTATAAATATGGTCGAACTCTACGCAGTTATACAAGGTAACTTTAAAAGAACTCTACGCAGTTATAGAAGGTAACTTTACCAGAACTCTACGCAGTTGAACAAGGTAACATTAACAGAACTCTACGCAGTTATACAAGGTAACATTAACAGAACTCTAAGCAGTTAAACAATGTAACATTAACAGAACTCTAAGCAGTTATACAATGTAACATTAACAGAACTCTAAGCAGTTATACGAGGTAACTTTAACAGAGCTCTACGCCGTTATACTAGGTAACTTTAACAGAACTCTACGCAGTTATTCAAGGTATCTTTAACAGAAATCTATGCAGTTATTCAAGGTAACTTTAACAGAACTCTACGCAGTTATTTAATGTACCTTTGATAGAACTCTACGCAGACATACAAGGTAACTTTATGAGAACTCTACGCAGATAAGTAATATCTAGATAAGGATCTGGATGAGTATATATATCTAGATAAGGATCTGGATGAGTACATATATCTAGATAAGGATCTGGATGAATACATATATCTAGATAAGGACCCTGATGAGTAATAATCATACATCTAGATAAGGACCCTGATGAGTACTGGGGATCCGGGATGAGTATTGTTGCTGCTGTCTCGCACTCCCTGATCATCTTGAACAGCTCAACCAACTTCATCATCTACTGCTATAAGGAAATACAAGATAAAAACTTTCATATTTTTTGCGTTTGTTTCTTTTTAAATTTGAATTTTAAATTTATTGAGTAAAGATTATACAAAAAAATTGTTTTTATTATTCTTGTCATTATATTTTCATCCCCTTTATTCTTTATTTTATTCTTATATTGATTATCTCCTCTGGCAATTTAGATAAAACAAAAATACTTCATTTAATTTGATTCTTGAGTTTAAAGGGTCTGGAGAATTAATTTCAACCCTCTATTTTAAGGATTTCATGTTTGATTCAAAACAAAACAAACTTTTAAAAAAAATTTTGCGAAAAAATTCGAAAAATAATTTCTCAAAAAAATTCCTCAAAAACGTTAATTGTTGTAGCTGCAACAATTAATTGCACACAAAAAAAAACTTGTGAAATCTGCTAAGAGGGCTCAGTATTAAAAGTTTTATAACATCATAATTAATAATTTTTTTTTTTATCGAAATTTTGCATTTTTTCCTGAAACGATTTCCCCTTTTCGCTTGAAACCCTACTTTGTACCAATTGTTTTTAAAGATTAACAGAAATATTCAAAGTTTTCCGGTTGAAAAATTGACAATTTTAAATGTCTGTCATCTACATCATACAATGAAGGAAGAAAAACGGCGACAACTTCCGTTTTGTTTCTCAGATAAAGGTTAAAAGGGTTGAATAGTAATTGAGAAACAATTTTATCTAGAGGGTCCGATAATTGGCCGAGAGAGCATTAATTAGATAACTAGTTGAACTAATAATGGCGGGTTAAACTACTTCTGTAATTCATTAATTAGATAACTAGTTGATCTAATCATGGCGGGTCAAACTACTTCTGTAATTCATTAATTAGTTAAACTACTTCTGTAATTCATTAATTAGATAACTAATTGAACTAATCATGGCGGGTCAAACTACTTCTGTAATTCATTAATTAGATAACTAGTTGAACAAATAATGGCGGGTTAAACTACTTCTGTAATTCATTAATTAGATAACTAATTGAACTAATCATGGCGGGTCAAACTACTTCTGTAATTCATTAATTAGATAACTAGTTGAACTAATTATGGCGGGTCAAACTACTTCTGTAATTCATTAATTAGATAACTAGTTGAACTAATAATGGCGGGTTAAACTACTTCTGTTATTCATTAATTAGATAACTAATTGAACTAATCATGGCGGGTCAAACTACTTCTCTAATTCATTAATTAGATAACTAGTTGAACTAATCATGGCGGGTCAAACTACTTCTCTAATTCATTAATTAGATAACTAGTTGATCTAATCATGGCGGGTCAAACTACTTCTGTAATTCATTAATTAGATAACTAGTTGAACTAATCATGGCGGGTGAAACTACTTCTGTAGTTTATTAATTTTAACCTCTATTAATTTCTTTCAATTAAAAAAGAAATTAAATCTTGGATATTTAGGATAAGAAGTTTCGAGATATCGTTTCAAATGGTTGCAAAGAAATTCTTGCAGAATGGCGATGTTGGTAATGTACAGAAAGATAAACAAAACTCTATATTCAGGATAAACAAAACATATTCAAGAAAAAGTAAACCACATTCAATATAAATTAAACTCTATTCAAGATGAATTAAACAATTAAAAATTACAAACATGTTTTGAGGGATATTTCTAACATTTGTTGAAAACAACAAACAAATGTCAGTTTTGCAGTAAAGAGCACTTTAAAGAAATGTGATATGAATGATGAGGGACCAGAGTTCTCCCAGGGTCCAAATATATGAGGTTTAGAAAATTTTGCATTATTTTTCCAATCCATTGAATTCTATTGAAAGACTCAGTCATATCTTAAATGTCTAAAACGGTTTACAATAATTTTTCCGATTCTTGAGTCACAAACACTGAACTAGCCAATAGACTAACAACAAATTCAATTATTTGCTTTTTACCTTTCATGTTTTAAAACTAGAAATAAAACCAATGTAATTAATTTTATTTTTCTTCAAACTCTTGTATACTGCCCTGCACAATAAACCAAAACCTTTAACTAAATTGATATCATTCCGGAACATTGGCACATTTAAAATTTGTTATTAGAGGCCGGGCCGGCACAATTTCATCTATCAATGAAGGTCAAGCCTAACACTAGGGCCGGGCCGGTACACTTTTATCTGTCAGTAGAATCCGGACCGGTACAATTCTAAATAAACCGGAGATTCCTGTGTGGCATTTACGACCCTTTATTTTACTTACAAAATTTATATAAATTTGATTTAAAAATTCAAAAAGATTTGTAAAATATTTGATAATATTTTCCCTTAAAAATGTATATTTTCTTTTTCTTATTCTTGTAGCATATGAACTTTATCGGTGTTAATGCTGAACTGTTTTGTATAGTAAAATGTCCAATTCAAGAAACTGCATGTTTTTTTGTATGTTATCCATGTATCATGTAATTTTATGTAAAAACTGTTAAATTAATATTTGTATGTCGTAATGCATCATAGATTTTATTGTTCGTATTTGTAAAAATGATTAAAAAATTCTTATTATAGCTAAAATATTTTTTTCAAAGACAAAATTATACCTATTTGAATTTTTTTTCATTGTTTAAACATTTTTTATTTTTCTATTTGGAGAAAGTTTATAAAAAAATGTTTATAATATTAATTAATGTTGAAAAACTTGTGAAAAATATAGATTAATTAACCATATATATATATAGTAAATAGTAAATTGTTGTAAAACTTTAATTCTTTAATAAAAACATTAAGCTTAATGGATAAATTATAAAATACTAGGCTTTTAGGGCGCTTCGCGCCCATCTTCTATTTAAATTGTGAACATGTTTTTTTGTTAACATTTGAAACATAGAAGAATTCGCGGATTTTCAAAAATTTAAACTTTTTGAAAAATTAAAAACCTTTAAAACACATTTTTTTTATTTTTATCATTCATAAACCTTCCCTGTGGTCGGTGGTCACGTGATGTCCCAAAAAAAATTTGGGCCCGATCGGTTCTGCCGTTTTGACGTTTATTGGACACAAACAAACAAACAGACAGACAAGCCAAACTTATATATAGATGCTTGTTATGTTTGTATATTAGTAATATAATAACGGGCTCATTAAACTTTCCATCTGGCTAATTACCCTGAAACTCCTCTATGGGTATGCGATTATATCAATACAATGATCAGACAACTTTTTTAGTTTCGATTGTTTACAAGCTTTTTTTAAATTACTTGTTTACACGTAATCACAGAGAAGCTGCTTTAATCGACATCTTATCTCTGTTTTCATGTTAATGGTATCCATGCTGTTTAAAAGCTTGATGCAATTAAAATTTAAATCGAAAGTACTGTACATAATTTCTTGTACAACTACATATGTTTAAACCACTCTGAAATAAAAGACGAAATTCTCTTGGTTTTCTTCCTCACCCCGAAAGTACAATCTCATGATAAAGGCAATATACTTGTATTATTGTATCTGATGAAGAAGGTCACATTAAAAGAACAATAATTGTCTTGGATAATTTCCCTGTGGAGTTATACGTAATACAGATCCTGAAAAAACAAGTTTATATTTATTATCTTATATCTAAAGGGGAATAAGAACCAAATACTTCCACCTTTTTTACCCACAATAACCCCGGCTTCCTTAGTACGCCCCAGAGTGGGTTAGTAGGCGCGCAACTATATAGACAATTTGTAAAGGGGGGCAATAGGGAAAAACATTTTTGTTGCTACCTCCTAAACATTTTTAGGGGGGGGGGGGTGGACAAGAAAAATGTTTATTATACTCAAACAATAAAAAAACTAACCTTATACCAACCAGATATTCAGTGATCAAGATATAAAATTAAAAAAAAAGAAATCAATTCTGGTTAATATAAATCACAAATGCCTTTCATTAAAAAAAATCATGATTTTACATTAAATTTTTTTTTAATATGACACATCACACAATATTTGTGGTGAACATGTTGGATTAGTTTAGTTGTACTACAGAATTAAAGCAATATTATAATAAGTGGCAGAACTGATGGTGAAAATATCTAAAAATACTTGATAAACCCCCTTTCCCAGGAATTCATAAATCGTTAAATTGCAAAACTGGGTGGACTTCTTGCCTCCCCCCCCCACCCTACAAGGGGTACAAGCCTTTTTATTGGAGGTGCCCCCTTTATCAGGCTAGTGGGGCACCCCCTTGTCTCCCCCAGCTAGTTGCGCACCTGGGTTTTAGTGGCTATAGTACCCAGGGGCGGATCCAGCTTTTTGAAAAGATCCTTCTTTTCCCAGATATAATAGGTTTATTCATAGCAATAGTTTTGTTAAAGCACCTTAAGTATCTGCCAGGGGCGACTAATGATATTTTCCAGGCCAGGTGGGGGGTGAGGGGGATTAGAAATTTCTATCTCCCCCCTAAAATCTTTTTCATTGGTAAATTTTATGTCAAAACCTATAAGCAGCTAGCTTGGGGGTTGAAGGTGTGAAATGTGTAAACAAGATTTGGATATTTATGAGAAATATTCATTTATGAGACAACATTTTTTAAAATCTATATTCTTCAAAATCAACATTAATTGAGCTAGAAGATATGTGCCGCTTTTTCTTAACTTGCGCTCCTATAATTTTTCCAGTGGAGTGGGGTGGACGTCTCCCCAATTTTCTAGGAAAGGGGACGTCCCCCCTCGACCCTCTTTATAAGCCAAAGCTCTGCATATACTGGAAAAAAGTTTACAACTAAACTTTTTTCTAAACTTTTCTCGGTATTTTCTCGTATTCTTTCTTATTTTTTTTCTAACTTTTTCCTATGATATTAGACGAGAAGTCTTTTTTTCCCCTAGACGACTGACGAGAAGTCTTTTTCTACTATATTCAAAAAGAGAGGTCCTTTTCATTTCATTTAGGATCTTATTCCAGGTCTCAGTGTTGTTAAGTCTTATACTAGTTTAAATTCCATAACTTAAATTAGAGAGTAACTGCGAGAAGCATTTTGTATATATATATATAAATGAATATTCGTGTGTTTTTTATCATTATTACATAATTTTCTCAGATCTGTACCTTTATTGTTTCAATAAAAAGTTTGAAAGAGAGCTTCTTATAGAAAAGGGGGGTCCAAAGATACTCTTGACCTCCCCTTTTTTCAGAAGGGGGTCTTCAACCCCTTGACCTGCCCCTTTGTATCCGCGCCTGCGAGTACCTAACGGCCTAAAACCTTTAAATTCGAATCAAATAGTTCGGTTTACATGGCATCTAGGCTATGGGGAAAAAATAAATTAAATTACGTTTAGTAAATTTCCGGAATTATTTAGACAAATGGTAAAATTGTCATCATTTATAAAAAATATTTCTTGCTGAATTGTTTCCATATTAGCAATGTATTTTTTTTAAATAATATTTTTCTTATAATCGTTATTCCGAATTTACATTGGTTGAATCAGCTGATTTAGCCAAACCAAACCTCAACCATCAACAAACCCCTGAGGACAGAGCCCTGAGGAGATAAGATGATTGGGGTAAACTATTTTAAATTACTTTTTACTTGAATGCCAAGTTTTAAAAATTTTCACTACTAGGCTTACAGAGCAGTTAACAGTTTAGCCTTTACTGTACTATTGAAGCCTTGCTGCACTTCGTACATACATGTAATATCGAATTATTTTCCGGATTCCCCCGTTTCATGTCATTCGTTTTATTTGTGACATTTTTCTGAAATTTCGACCGGCAAAGCAGGCATTAATTTTCCTGTTTCATGGTGGTCATTGGGATTTTGACCAGATCGGTTCAGCCGTTTCTACGGTTTATTAAACTTATGCAATGTTAAAAGTCCAGATTTATATAGTTTTTTTTATATTTTAGAATTATATATTACATTATTTGCTTTGTAGAATTGAGGATCGCTCCAGACAAAATGATTGGCTCATTCTCATCCAATCGGTGGTAAATATTATTTTTAACATTTAAGATGGGTGTCACGTTAAATAACGACCGGCCGGGAGATGATGCCGGCTACTGTTTTGGGGTCCGTCCTAGCAAACGATTTTTGGCCCCCCCCCCCCCCCGGCCCCCCCATCCTATCAATTTTGTACATGACCAAATAAGTATTTATTTATTATTATTTAGGGTGAGGTTAGGTTAAGACAATATCTGGGCCGAGCGCTGAGGCTAGGATAGGCTAGGGGGCCGAGCGCTGTGCCACATGGTCAATTATATCCATGTCTAACATATAAGATCCATGTTCAAAATTGATAGGAGGGGGAGGGGGTCCAAAAATCGTTCTCTAGGAATATACCCTGTTTTGCTATCTTAACAAATTGACATTTGTTTATTTTACATGTGCAATAGGGTGACCCAAATTTGTGTTAATTTGATCTTTTTTTCTGAATTTATTAAGATACAGGGGGTTCAACTAAAACAGCTCCGAGCTATTGACCTCTTCTGCTGAAGGAGCAACTAAACCATATATGATGATATATATCTTATCGTTAGAATTGTTTAACTAATAATGTTTCTTCACAATTATACAATTTGAATTAAATAGAATATATATTTAGGTGAATATTCCTTGAAAATGTCCACCCACCCCCTGCTTGTACCCCTATACCCCTCCTTCACAAAGTGCTCTCGCCTGGTGACCACGCCCCTGTTCCTTCTGACGACCAGCTGTATAGTCTGCTACAGTAATTCCCTCCTCTGTGGTTTTGTGTTTGATGATGTCAGTGCAATTAAGGATAACAAGGAAGGATAAGAACAAAGAATTCTGTAAAGTGACCCCCGGCGGTTGGGGGTGGATGTCCTCCTGCCCCAATTCCGTTTAAATATTTAAATTGTAATCAGATATTTTGAGCCGGGGGTTTAAAAATTGAAATAGCATCACAAACCAAGGAAGAAATGTTTTTTAAATCTTTTTTAAAAATTTTATTCAAGTTCGAGCCTTGAAGGTTTTATCGTTAATTAATTTAAAATTACAAATAAAGTTGTGAGTTAAGCATAAAGTTCACAATTTTTTTTTATTAAAATCATGTAATGTTCAATCAAAACATCAGGATATTCGTGCCGACTTCCCGTTTGAGAAACGGTTTTTTGAGTTCCTTCTTAACGATTTCTGGGGTATCCCAATGCATAAAGAGCAGTCACATAAATCCTACAGACCGTTATGCGTCTTAACATACAGGTTAAGTTTTCGGGGTTGGACAAGGAGCGGGGGGGGGGGAGGTGTCTATGTTATAGCTTGTTCAGAAAAAGTTTAAGAAATATTGCCTTTATAATTTGCAGTTTTAAAAACTTCCTACTCTAAAGGAAACGTGTGTTGCCAAACAAATATGCTAACATTTTTTTTACATGCAATCTTCAAAATCAATGCTTAGGATCCGGATCCGCAAGATTTTGGGTTCCTGGATCCGGATCCAGATCTGCAAAAAATATGCGGATCCACGGATCCGGAATAAGGGGTAAAATATCGACCAAAAACTGCAAAAAAAACTTTTTCACCCCTGAAACCCAAATCTGAACTTTTGAAAAAAAGAGAGTGTAAAAATTTCCTCATTTGTAAATGGTTCATCAAGTTTTAGGATAAAAATAAGCTAAAAAAATAAAACAAAAAAGTGAAAATTATTTTTTTGTTAAAAAATTCAGAAAATCTTAAAGAAATGACCTGGATCCGGATCCGGATCCGCATCAAAATTAAATGGATCCTAAGCTGTAGTTTATGAGAAATTGGTGGGGGGGGGGGGGAATGGATATTTTTGTCGAAGGAAATGAGTAATTGCCACAAACTCTTTTTTATCACATTATCTCCGCAACGGCCAATGTCGTCGACTTTTAGGCTATGAATTCAGTTAGATAAAATTGTTTGAAATGTGAAAGGATTTCACCATCAGGTTTAAAAGAATATATGGATTAGAAAATCAGATTTTTTGGCAGGAATTCAAATAATTTTTTATATTTTTTTTCTGAAATATTGATTGAAACGATTACAGGCTAAACTACCTGGTCCACGGGTTGTCCCCTCTAGGTTACCATCTGGGTAATCTAGTTCTTCACCTTGGGGTTACCCTGCTCTACCATTCAACCCTCTCCTCTCTACTCAACTCCTCTACACCAGCTCTACTTGCCGCCCTACTCTTCTCTGTACATCCTGTACACACAGGTTAGTAAGAATCATAGACAAAGATAGACACTCAGCCAACTCATCTCGCGAAACCTCGATTCCAAGAGGAAGTATGGTTTATACAGTACACTTACTGCAAAGTCTGCAGGGGTTTGTTTTAGTCCTCGATTTTAGCATAAATATGTAGATCATGGTTTTAGTGGACATTTTGACGGCGTACACATCAATACTAAATGATCTGAGATAGATAGATATTTTCTCCCTGAAATGTAAACGAAAATATAAGAAAGTGAACAAAGGAAGCTCCGGAAAAATAACTTGTTTTTAAGAATACGTACACTTTCTAAATTGTACAGTTGTGCCCAGCTTGCTTGTTGTACTTTCAGTACACTGAACCTCTATCAATATCTAAGAATTTACTGCACAAAATTACTGTACTGTACTGTACTGTACTGTACTGTACTGTACTGTACTGTACTGTACTGTACTGTACTGTACTGTACTGTACTGTACAATACTAATTGATATACAGGTCCGAGAGGGGGTTATTTCAGCGAAGTTCTCAAAAAATGGAAAATATCTGTAAAATCCCAATAAAAAAGTAGATCCGGATCCACATATTGATAGGATCTGGATCCTGTAGTAAAGGTTTCTATTTTATGTTATGTTCAGAGGCAGTGACAGGTGTTGTGGGTCGAGCTGAGCTGTTAAGTAGTATATTCTTCCTCCTGAGTATTCAGGCGTACACAGACACAAATAGTAAACAAACAAACCAGTGTACTGCAAGAGACAACAAATGTAAACATGAAGACAAGATCGCAAATGTGGATTTTTCATGTTCTCCAGGATATAAGTTTTCTTCTCTAATGCAGGTAACAAATAACTTTTTTAATACAAAAATTATTCAATCTAATTGTTGAATAAAATTGAATGAAAATGCTGACAAAAATGTATCTAATTGAGAATTCAAATTTACAGTTTTATTCTTTATCTTGTTGGCACTGTTCCAGGCTTGTTTTTTGGCGGCCCTAGCGATGGTGAGCAAGGAGCAGGGAATCACTGTTATTGGTAAACTTTATAATTACCTTAAAGGGACTGTAAGTAATCTAATGTGACCTCATAGTTGCATGTCGGAATCCCAACGATATCCTTAAATACTTTATCTGATTACTTTATTTTTATGAATGAGATATCCATGTTTGTTTTTTAAAACTGTCAATTTTCATTTGTGGTTTCGTTGCACAAGTGACAGAATTATTCAGTCATCAAGGGAAAAAACGAAAAAAAGCTATAATTAGATTAAAAAATGATCTCTTTACTGAATACCAAATCGCAACCGATTTAACCTTTGATTCTTTTTTAATTTGATTTTCAAAACGTGCAAGATTTTTAAAGGTTTCTGTAAAATTGATAATAATTCATAGAACTCCCCCCCCCCCAAAAAAAAAAAAAATGGGTTTAAAAGTGAGACTATTAGATCAGTAAATATATGGTTAGAGATGCCCAGTTTTCAGTAAATATATGTTTAGAGATGCCCAGTTGTCTCTTTAATTTGGGTTTTGCCTCATTCACATTTATTCATAATTGTTCAAATAAGAGAAATAAAATGTTACTTTTTAATTTACAGGTTTCTGCTTGATGTTTGAGCTTCTCCAGGTTCAAAAGATCCAGAAAATATCCTGGAAAACAACCCGACTAATATATTTTAAGGAATGCAAATCTATCAGACTTTTTTTATTATCTTCTATTTAATGATATCTTCTGTACTTCCTCTGTTCATTAATTTTCCAAAACAGAAAGAATAAAAATCTTGTCTTATTAATCATGTAAGTGTAGACACAAAAACTTTCATAAACTTAAGAATGTATTTGCAAAATTCTGTTCTTTTAAATTTTGATTTTTGCAACCAGATTTTAACTTAAGAGATGTTAGCCCTTTACCGTGTATAGTGTACAGTGCACAGTGCACACTGTTAAGATAAAATTGCTATACTAAATGAGAAAAGGATGGTTAAATCTTGAATCTTGATGAATCTTAATAGATCTTGATTGGTTTTGAAAGGTTTTGATAAATCTTGATAAATATTGATAAATCTTGATAAATCTTGATAAATCTTGATAAATCTTGATAAATCTTGATAAATCTTGATAAATCTTGATAAATCTTGATAAATCTAGACAAATCTAGACAAATCTAGACAAATCTAGACAAATTTAGAGAAATCTATATAAATTCTGATAAATCTGGACAAATTTTGATTAATCTTCATAAATTCTGATAAATCTGGATAAATTCTGATAAAACTGGAAAAATTCCGTTAAATCTTGACAAATATTGATAAATCTGGACAAATTTTGATTAATCTGTGCATAAATTCTGATAAATCTGGATAAAATCTGGATAAATTCTGAAATCTCTTGATACATTTTGATTAATCTGGATAAATTCGGATTATTCTGGACAAATTCTGAAAAAATCTGTAAATTCTTATAAATCTGGAAAAATTCTGACTAATCTGGAAAAATTCTAATTAGTTTTGACAAATTCTGTTAAATCCAGATAAACTCTGATAAATCTGCATAAATTCGTGTAAATCTGAATGAACTCTGATAAATCTGAATAAATTCTGATAAAACTATATAAATTCTGATAAATTTGGATAAATTTTAATTAATTTAGATAAATTCTGATAAATTCTGATAAATCTGGATAAATTATGACAAATCTAGATAATTTCTGATAATTTTGGATAAATTCTGATAAATCTGTATAAATTATGACAAATCTGGATAAATTCTGTTAAATCTGGATAAATTCTGATAAATCTGGATAAATTCTGATAAATCTGGATAAATTCTGATAAGTTTGTATGTGAAGGGTTTATTAAATGAACCTGGATTGGTACGTGTACTTGTTCTGACCGTCACAGCTGTTTTACTTCTCACCTTCAGGATTAAACTAATGCAGGTCATTAATATTTTTACAAGGGGATATATTTTCTAGTAAGATTACCCCCCTCCCCGCCCATCTCCCAGAATCTGAGATGCAAATCATATTTCTAAATTGTATGCTAGACAAGTTTGCTTTTATTGCACACACCAAATTTTTTAACTCTGATACAAGAAATTGATCAAAACGATTTTTCAAAACGATTAGTAGAATCGTTTTCCGTTTTGAAAAATTGTTTTGGGCAAAATCTTTGATAAGAGTAAAAATTAAGCTGTGTGTAAGAAAATTAAACTTGTCTAGCATATAATTTTGAATTAGGATTTGCATCTTAGATTCTTGTCAAGCCTTAAAAAAGCCTCAAAACTTTGAATGTTTAAAACGGGCCTTAAAACATGCCCTTTAGTAATTACAATATCCAACCTGAGATGGAATTTAAAGAATTTGAGCCGTGGTTTAAATCCGCCGAAACCCGGTTTAAATTAAGCGCCGGCTTAAATCTTGAAACATTTAATACAATTTTAAGTGGAACCAACCATATTTAAGCCGCGACTTAAATTTAAACCGCCGCTCAAATTTAAATTCTCATACTGCAGGGATCGAGTTTACCTGTGTTTACCAAGTTTGATAATCCTGCGAGTGTAGCTGCACCTGTATCCCGTACCCTGAGTTACTTAGTCCTGCCCGCATACAATATAGGACTCCTTCTCTGCCCAGCAAACTTATGCTGTGATTGGACCATGGGATCCATCTCCCTCATCACTTCTATATCAGGTATATAAATAAGAAATATTTAGAATAGGAATCTTAATAGAACTCTGTAATGGACACCCCAGACCGCAGAAAGTTGAGGGGCCATAATACCCGTTCCATTCCGGCCCCCCGCCCCCAACTATTCCAGCCGGGTTGGGGGTGGGGGGGTAGGAAGGGTACTACCGGTGACTGGCATTACATATATTTTTCAAATATTGATCTTTAACATTTTATCCTCTAAATTTATTGCTGGGGTAAATATTTTTGGGAAAATGATTTCTCCTATTTGGGAAAAATAACTTAATTTTTACAGAAAATTATAGATTTTATTCAAGGATTCAGTTTTTAAGCAAACTAAAACGACATCAAATTCTCTGTATGTATGTACTACAAGTTGAAGTGGGAAGTTTTTGAAGTTACGTTGAACAAAATTATCATGTTCAGTGTTTATAAAACATTTTCTTACGTAATTTCAAGTTACTATCCGATTATAGAGTGGCATGTCCGTTACCCTTAAATCCTTTATTTGATCAAGAAAGCATGGATATCTAGCATGGTCTCTTCGAAAATTGTTCATTTTTATCGTGGGTTCTCTAAAAAATGTTTTTCGGATTTCTGCTTTAGAAACATTGGAGTAAGATTGTTTGAATTAAACACTCAAAGCTAAAAACACCGATTTTTATTGTGCCTTTTATTAATTCTATTTAGATCTGAGAAACTTGTTAACACTTTTTCTTGGAGCCTATCTAGTCCATACAGCACTCATCATTTTCAAATCAGGAACATATATAAATCTTAATAATTGAATTTATTAATATACCAATTCTTTATGAATAAAAAACTTAGAATACCTTTTTTCTTTTTCTTTATTATTATCTTGAAGGATGAAAGAGCTCAAAGTAAGCGTTATTATCATGCAAAACCCTCACAAAAAATACATTATTCATTTTTTATTTAGACATGTAAGCTAGCTGACGTGTCAAGCATGGCGTTGCCCGTGGAATTTAAATAATCGTCGCAAAACCTTGCCATAAACCAACCTGTTGTAGTTACACACATGCATTACAATTGCGACGTTTTGTTTCATAGTATTGAAATAAAAGAGTTCATCTTTATATAAATTTGATTTGTCTGTCTGTTTGTTTGTATCCAATAAACGTCAAAACGGCTGAACCGATCGGGCCCAAATTTTTTATGGGACATCACATGACCACAGGGAAGGTTTATGAATGATAAAAATAAATGTGTTTTAAAGGTTTTTAATTTTGTAAAAAAGAAATTAAATTCTTGAAAATCCGCGAATTTTTTTTTTAAATCCGCAAAATTTTCTTCTTCTTTGTTTTTAAAATGTAAACCAAAAGAACATGTTCACAATTTAAATAGAAGATGGGCGCGAAGCGCTCTAAAAGTCTAGTTCTTATTAAATTTCTCTTTCATTCTATTTCCGTTCGACTTTTCCCAAAGAAATTTTTCATGAAACACTAGGCAGCAAATGAAAATTATTATAAATGTATGTAGAGCGGAGTGACTGCCTACCCCTCCTTGTATCTATGTCCCTCCTGTGTATACCCTTCCTCCCTGCCTCAAACCTATTCTTCCCAGTAGGCTTTGTTCTAGCGGAGAGAGTTCTGTATATTCCTTCCATGGGGTTCTGTCTCCTCGTAGCTCTAGGGAACCCAGTTCTTTGCATCAATCAATCATTCATTATTTAATTTATTAATCAATCAGTCAATTAAATAATTAACCAATCAATTAATCAATTCTGCAGCTGATTTATTTACTTAATTATGAACTTATAATAGATTTATTAAACAATGGAATGATTGGTTATTGGATTTATTAGTAGATTAGTTATTGATCATGAAAATGATCAATGAGTATGACTTAAGATGGTCATTTTGAAATCATTTTTCTTGTGTTTTATGAAAAATAAAAACAATCGATATGATATTGAAACGTTTTTTTTTATTCTGACCGAGCATAAATCATCTTTCGGACCACAACATATTCCACGCAAATAAATTAAAAACTGTGTTATCTTCTAGGTCTTACTAAACTATATCTACAATGCAACCATCCTACAGTAAAAGGTACTTTTTAAAATTTTATAAGTTTGTTATTTTTTAGTCAAAGTTTTTGAATAACTTGTTCAGTTTTTTTATTTTAATGAAAAATCCAAATAAATATTTTTTCTTTTACTCATAGAAATAATTTAAATGAAGTTTCAACAAAAAAAAACATTTTTAAAGGGAGTGACCGGCAATGTATGATAGGTGAACGTCGGCTTTGCGCACAAACTCAGTAATTATGCATCACTAAAACGTTTTATTTGTCTCAAATGAACCCTAAAAAACTTCTCCACAATGCTACATTCTCAGTCTAAGTACCATACATTGCCGATCACTCCCTTTAGCGAGGATGTTTAAAATCGATATTTGTTTAGGAATTATAAAGTGTTTAAAATCGATATTTGTTTAGAAATTATCAAGTGTTTAATATTGATATTTGTTTAGGAATTATAAAGTGTTTAAAATCGATATTTGTTTAGGAATTATAAAGTGTTTAATATTGATATTTGTTTAGGAATTATCAAGTGTTTAATATTGATATTTGTTTAGGAATTATCAAGTGTTTCTATTGATATTTGTTAAGGAATTATCAAATGTTTCTATTGATATTTGTTTAGGAATTATCAAGTGTTTAATATTGATATTTGTTTAGGAATTATCAANAACTTTGAAACATTTCTGGGTATATTTTCTTTAAAATTTATTTCCCCCTTTTTGGAAATCTTTTTTTTTGTCCAGAAGTTAAGCATTTTTTTCCCCCAATCTTCAAAAGTATTTTTTCCCCAAAGGGGAGTATGAGGGGGTTAATTCTTAAAAATATACACCCCTGAAATAACTTTTTGCCATGGCTTTGTCCATTCTTGTCATAGCTTGAATTAGAATGCATTTAGTGTGCAGTGTGCACTGCACTGCCCCATGATAAGGTTTATCTCAATAATCAGTTTCAATGATCTAAATAGCTAACACACGGTTTTCTTCGTTACAAAGCTCAATGGGAAAACGTCGGAAGCGTATTTTTTTTTCGGTGAATAATGAAAAAAATAAATTACTGTTAGTGGGGAATTAATGAATTTTAAGGTAAAAAAATCCCAAAAGGGTGAAAATTATGCCAGTTAATGTAATTTTTTTTTAATTTTCACACGAGGGGGGGCAGTTGTAATTCTTGAATATTAGTTTAAAGTTATATACAGTGTTAGAAGTTTATATCAACACAATGAATACTACTGCTTTTAGTTTCGATTTCTGACAAGTTATTTTTAAATTAAAAGTTTGCAAGTAAACAAAGAGAAGCTGTTTCCCTGTTTATGTGTAATGTGTATCCACTATCCATGCTACTTGTAAGCTTAGTAGAAATCAAAAATTGAAATTGAAGTCGGCTTCATTATATTAATGTATATGACGACGACTGTATCTTATTTAGAATGAAGAGTCTATATTCTTATCTGGACTAACGGTGAACAAAAACAATGCAAAATTATTCAACAATGTCGGACATGCTTTAGGTAAATTATTTTGCTTAAGATGGAAAAGGGGGATAAAGGTTTTAAGTTTTAGATATTTATTTGTCTAATCAAGAAATCTCAACTAATTTGGAATTATGGTTACGACTCGACTCCTTCAAAATAGGAATATTATCTTGTTTGGTTGCAATCAAGGATTTAAAACTTGTTTGGATAATTAATAGTTAATTACAGAAAAGTTAGTTATGTTTGAAAACATGGAAGATTGAAATTTTGAATTAACTTTAATTTAGTTTGACTGACCCAATTTCTCTTTAAAACTTTATCGGAGTCCGAATTCAATGAATTTGAGCCGCATCTCAAATCCCCAAAAAACCGGTTTCAAATGAGCTTCTGCTTAAATCTTGAAACATTAAATACAATTTTGAGTGTAAACAACAATATTTGAGCCGTTCTCAAATTGGTATGATCCGTTTCGGACAGTTTCTCTCTTAATTTATATCCATTTTATTCATGCACAAATTATTTGTTGTTTTAACACTCCTCAGAAGTATTAGTTGTATTTGAAAACTGAAGTTTTGACCCTTTTTTTTTTGATAATGTTGATGTTGTTTTCCCCTCCATCTAGTATTTAAATAAAAAATATATAAATAGTACAGGGTTGGGAAATTCTGAAAGAACAAGAGTAAGTTAGATATACTATCTACGAATGTTTTTTTAACTAATTGCATAGTGCCGCTGAGAAAACAGCTCCTGTAGTTTAAATACTTCAGAGGCCGAATTTAAAGATTTTGAGCCGCGGCTTAAATTTGAGACGCGGCTCATATATGATTGGTTCCACTTAAAATTGTATTTAATGTTTCAAGATTTAAGCCGGCGCTCAATTAAAATCAGTTTTTGGCGGATTTGAGACGTGGCTCAAATTCATTAGATTTATGATGATTTAAACTTAAACCTTCTTTTTAAAAATAACTGAACATTTGTTTTCAGAAAAAAATATTATTTTATTTCAGAATCTCAAAAGCGACATAACGAATCTCTCATACTATTCCACCAGGCAGTACTAGTACAGCCAGATGATATAGGAGCTCATATAAATATAGGTAATAAGATGATATAGGAGCTCATAAAAATATACGTAATAAGATGATATAGGAGCTCATATAAATATAGGTAATAAGATGATATAGGAGCTCATATAGATAATAAGATGATATAGGAGCTCATATAAATATAGGTAATAAAATGATATAGGAGCTCATATAAATATAGGTAATAAGATGATATAGGAGCTCATATAAATATAGGTAATAAGATGATATAGGAGCTCATATAAATATAGATAATAAGATAATAAAGGAACAATCAGGAACAGTCATAATTACAGTATGAATATGAAAACAATTAAAAAAATATGGATAATGAATAATGATAATGATATAAAAGTTCAAAAAATAAATTGTTTAAGAGAAATGTATATTAAATTGACGATTTTCAAAAAAGTTTCTTGTGTCTTATACAATAAAGACGACATTTAAATGAATGAGAAAAAAACATTAAGCATAATTATTAATTAGGTCGAGCTTTGAATCAGCTGGGTCGGTTTGATGAAGCGGAAACAGCTTATAGAACTGCTAAATATCTGCTACCTAGAGCTAAACCTGGAGAAAAATTAATCACTAGGAATGAACCACAATAAAAATAAAACTTCATAAAATAAAACTCTCACTGTTTTACAGAATTTTTGGATTTTAGTTTTATAATGGAGCATTTTGATGCCCTAAGGACAATAGCTAGGTCCCCCCTTTTTTAATTCTTTTTTCCCGTCATCAATTTGCCAGTGCCTAGTATGTAGCTTTTAAAAGGGGGAAAACATGACATTTTTTGTTGAGGGAAAATAAATGATATTAATAGGATATTTTTCCCCAAAAAAGGTTTTGTTCAGTTTCCGGTCTTACCGCGAAAATAATTTCCGTCTGTTTCCTATTTCCTTCCATCTTCCCCCATTTTTTCCCTTTGTCCCTCTGATGACATTTCATTGATTAGTTTAGTTGGTTATACACTTTGTTTATATGCCTCGAGAATACAAATGTGAAATGGAAGATTTAAAATTAATTATATGCTTTCATTAAAGGTAAAAACACAAGACAGTAACATATGTTGAAAGTAGAATGCAGATATGTCAAGCAAATGAACTTTTTTGACTAAATATTTTGTCTCAAAAACGCAGATAGCCTAAAAGAGAAATATTTCATTTAAAAAAATTGTATAAAAATGTTTAAATATTTATTCAATGTTGTGGATCAGGATCGCCCCGAACTCGTTGAACCTGTTCTTGAACCTGGGGAACCTGATCTCGAAGAACAGCAGTAGGTTGGAGGAAGCGGACAGATTGTACAGACAGGCAATAGCGATGCGCTCAGATTATATTCAGGTAAGTAAAGTCCAGGGCTTGGGATCCAGATCCTTTGTATCCGCGCGCAACGACAGATCCAGATCCTTTGTATCCGCGCGCAATGGCTTACAGATCCAGATCCGTTATAAATGTTTTAAATATTAACTGATGAGAGACTATTCAAAGCTTGATAATCTCTTCTAATATCAAGTATAGCAATAAGCATACAAGAAAGTGGGGGGGGGGGGGGTTTTTAAAAA